TTCGTGGCTTAAACTGGGATTCAAACCTTTGTCTGCCGCCTTACTCAAGCAGACTTTTGCTCATAAGTCTTAATTCATTGGCTTATCGGAGAACTGTCCTTGAAGTTATGTTTTTCCACAAACTAATTATCGGTAATGTTGACTCTTCATTCCTTTTAGGTCGTCTTAATTTATCAGTTCCCCACCGGAGCGGAGGCGTTTATTAGATATTATTGATTTACTATTTGATTAGATTTCTCCTACTTAGGCCTTCTCAGCTTATAAGGTTTTATTTTTAATTTTTATATATTCTATTTCTACGTAAAATAAACATAAATAAAATGCTTTTTTAAAAACGAGAATGTAGTGCTGGATTCGTGTTGGGTCCTTTTAAAACAAATGATATCTTTTTTATTCGTTTTTTAATAAAATAAATAGAAATATATGTAATAATAGAACAAAATATGTACGTACGAGAATATGTTATTTACTTACACATACAAGTGCAACAGTTGCTGGCAGATCATATTTTATTTTTAGCAAGAGTAAACGTAACATAAGCATTCCCAGGATGTTCAAGGGTTCTAGAAAATAACTAATTGTGAGGACACACATACTTGTCCTGCTTAGGGCTTATGAATACCTAGTTTGGTGGCTCTACCTCGAAAATGATTGTGTTTGTAAAGGCGAACAGACAACAAACAAATAGAGAAAGCTATATCGATTCGACTCCTCATATTGATCATGAATATGTAAATACTTTGTGGTGTCTACCACGCCTCCTTCTAGCAGTCACATACATTCGCACATTTGAAAATTGGTTTATAAATTCTAGCTGTCAAAACAATAACAGAAATGAGTTATAAATAACCCAAATATACTGTTTCTTATCCATGCGAAATAACTTATAAATACATACGAGTATATTGCTGCAGCTCTAGAATGCTTCGGTATCTGGCAGAACTACTACAATCTGCTTCGTTCTATGTGGATCCTCTTCTATGAACTATAAGTCCACCACCTAGGCCATGTATACACGAAATATTTTTATTACACAACTGACAAACATGCTTTATTTAATATTATCAATCAGAAATAATGTAAAAACGTCTGCATGCAACCGAAATATTTCAATACCGAAGCATGCAGAGCTTGAGTAAATGGCATTTAATACAATATGTCATTATTTCATTATTTTAAATGAATGCTAAAAACTACAACGAGATAAAATGAAAGGGCAAGTGTTGAGCATCAATGGCATTTAGGGGAGGTAAGAGGAGGGGGGTGGCAGGCGGCTTAAGCTATTTTTCGCTTTAAATAATAAAGGATGTTGCATACTTATTTGTGCGCTCGACATAAGCTTGCCGAGTGACAACAGCAGCCAGTCTTCCAGCCAGCTATGTAAATATACTATATACGTAGAGAAGCTGGCAGTCAGTTGGTCGGTCGAGTAAACCAAAGCAGCTGACATATTTTATTCATTAAGCACAAAGCGTAAAAAGAAGAAAAAACAGAAGATGACGAAGAACAAGCGGGAGCAGCAAACATGCAAATGACAACGAACAAAAGCCAAGCAAGCAGGGCTACCGCAGACATACATATGTATGTACGAGTATGTATGTATGTATATACATATACACATGTACTCGCATGTAGCTGTGTCTGTGTGCCTGGGTAAGTAGATGCGCATGTAAATATTTTTATGGTCATAAGTAAGATTTTTACATGCCAAATGCTGGCATATCCGAGTGCGAATGCCTGCCCATCTGGCGGAAGGGCGAACGGGGAGGGGGACATTAAAAACCAAGTAAAGCGCGCTTTACTGATTTCATTTCCAAAGCTCGTCATGAGTGCTTCCTTCTGCAAATGTATGTACAGATGGATGTTTGTGCATGTGTATGTGAGTGTGTGTGAGTGTGCTTGACACTTTGCATAGTTCCTGCTCCTAAATACAAGTAGTTATGTATATCCGCACATCTACATCGACATCTACGTGTGTGCATTCCAAAGGTTCGCTCAATGATAATAATTTAATATAACGTGAAAGGAAAAAATTTACTCTATATCTACAAAATAAAATGAACAAACTTATCGTTATGATATATAATTACTATATATTGTACAAGTATTACGAAGATACATAAACAAAAAAGAAGTCATTTGAAGCAAATGTGAATGAAAAACTCTGAAGTCTTTAGCGAAAAGCATAATTTTCAGCAGAGCATAGGAAATCAAAAGTAGATTCAACATTAATAATTGAAATAAATTATTTTTGCATAATTTTCTTGAAATTACATAATTTACATAATTTATAAATATATAGTTCTATGTTTATTGTTTATTTCCTTTAAAACAACTTAAAGCTCTGCTATTATTTTTATTTTATAGATCAAACGTTTCTGAAAATCAATCAGTTTTACAGAGAAATATTAAGAGCGAACGCTACAGTCGAGCAAGCCCGACAGTGTAATACCCTGTACCCAGGTAAACTTCCGTCACTGAGTTATATGCGCCCATAGCAGCAGCAAAAAGAGGAAGAAGAAGAGCGAACTTGTTGCTGCAGTTTGTGGGGGTTGTACTGGCGAGGATTTGTTTTGCTAATAACTTTTCTTAGAATTGACCGAATTGAATAAAATTTTGAACAACAGTAGACAATTATATATTAATTATGTTTGGTTCGTTTGGTTTAGGTAGCATTTGAAATGTGGACGCTATTGACGAAATTCTGTAGCGGGGGAAGGGGGGGGGAAATTAAAAAAAAAAACATAAACTCGTCCTTACTCGGACCTAGTAGAATCTGGATGCCAACTTTGGTTATTCTAGCTTTTATAGTTTCTGAGATCCTCGCGTTCATCCAGACGGACGGACAGACGGACGGACATGTCTAGATCGATTTCTCTCGTCATGCTGATCAAGAATATATATACTTTATGGGGTCGGAGATGCTTCCTTCTGTATGTTACATACTTTGCACAAACTTAATATACCCTTTTTACCCTACGGGTACAGGGTATAAAAAAGCAGTATAAAATAAGTTCTGCTTTTTATTTTCTGCCAAAAATTAAACTAAAGAACCTACAAAGAACTTTAGAAGAAATTAGTATCAAGTATTGAGCTAAGGCTTTCCAATGTCGTATACATTTCCAAGATTCGAAATTTGTTCTACAGTCGAAAATCGTTTTACTCGAAATTTCATTTATCGAAATCGTCATTGACAATATTATTTTATGATTTCTTGAGTAATGCGTACATTTAGATTGTCTTTTTATACCGGATTTGATATGAACACGAATCTCTACAAGGCCATTAGACAGCAGATTCATAGCTCATATATATATCGGAGCGCAATTGCGCTTATTGTGTTCACACACACGTAATATGTTTACTTTATAGTCAATTGACTTTGATGCGCAAGTGGGTCAGGCAATCATCCACAAGTCCCAAGTGATTTGATGAATCAGGCATGGATATTCTCTGCAAACGGACATGCAATTCATCATAGTTTTGGTATTACTTTGTGAACTTGGCGAACTTTATGTTGCGATGCTTTGTTTAAGGTGCGATTTGTGGTCCGGATTAGTCTCTTTAGGTTCTGGCTTTCAGAACATTAGAAAATGAAACACCTACTCGGACTCAGGGTCATATAGTCAGCCGACTTTTGAGCTTCTTGTTTCCTAGGCAGGTTCTATTATTTCCTGTACACTATTTCGCTAAAGGATCTTCTTGTTCGTGGTCGAATTATGCAACTCACCATCAGCGACACATACAGAGAGTAGCGTGCAGTTACCCTTAGAGTGAAGAGTGTTTATTTAGAGTCATTCGTAACGGTCTCAAGCTTGGCTTTGAACATAGGCTGCGGATTTTATTTCTGTATCTGATGTATGTAAATAGCAGATCAGTCATACTTCGTGCCCGCTGTAGTTGTTTTTCGGAAGCAATGCTAACGAGTTTACAGAAATATAAAAAATGCAATTGTCTACTCTGTATCAACTATTCTAAAACTTTTGCAATTTAAATATGCAATTACATTTAAATAAAAAATTCTTTGCCAGCCTAGCAAGCATAGCAGTTGAATGTATATATATACATACATACACGTGTATGCGTTTGTTTCACTAATAAATACGATTGTTTGTTGTTAATAATTCATTTGTTTTCATATCGCAGCATAGAATTGCTACATAACGTATACGCAATGTGGCAACATGCAGATACATTCAGGCATATGTATATACTAAAATATATATGTTGAAATACTTATAGGAGTATAGCAGACATTGCACGACATGGCGTCAGCTACAGCGTCACGATATTGCTAATGGGAAATATTTGTTTTAAAAGCAAAAGGTGCCCGGCGCCTCATGACTCACACAACAATGCAAATGGCAGACAGGGACAACAACACGGATATGGACACGGACCCGGACACGGACGCTAACACAAACACAAACATACGCACACATGCCAATGTCTGCGAGTATACGTGTGTGTGTTGCTGTGTGTTTGTGTGTGTGTGTGTGCCAGTCTCTGTGCTGCGGTTACTTTTGTTTCCAAAAACCATAATGATGTCATCAAAGTTGCTCACCGTATGTTTCGCACTGTCTCTGGCGGTGCGTGTGTACGGGTATATCCGCAATTCACCCCTTACCCTACCCTCCCCTACCCACTTACCGCCATTAGACCCCACACAAATCCCTCCCGTGAGCAACTTGTAAATTATGTACAAATATTTTGTCGGTTAAGAGCTATACAAACAAGGATTAAAAACATTTTGCAGCCAGCTTGGGCATTAAATCGTATTATTTTGCAAGCGAACACTCAGGCAGAACTTTTAACCATACGCATAGCTGACTTTGGGGGACGCATGCCCCATTCGGAGCCACAAAGGTGTTACATATCCATGTAGACGCGGGTTGGTTTTTTTTTTTTTTTTTCTGCAGAAGTAATCTGAATAATTAATACGCTCGCACCCTTGCCAGCATAACTGATTTTTTGTATCGCCTGGATTTTGTTTTCGACAGTTCTACGATTTCACCGACATTGCCGAGGATGCCGCACGGCAGTTTATCGAGTTTCTATCCAACAAGTTTCCCAGCAATGCACCCATCACTATTGACGATCAGACGCGCGCCGAAGTCAGTCGTCGGGCTAATGGCATCGCCAGCTACGCTCTCAACGAGGAGGACACCCTTCTGGCATTTGCAATAGCGGCGCCCGGCATACATACGGTTGTGGTTAAGTTTAGAGACAATGTAACGGTAAGTTGCTACTAAGGCTTGTACTAAAGCTGGTACTAAGGCTCTCTTTTCTCTTACAGATACCACCGGATCAGGTGCATAATAAAGCGTATTTGGGATCCTATTGGCGTGAGTTGGGGTAAGTGCTGACAATTTGGAAGATTAGGCTATAAGTGGCAGACTTCACGTGTATAGACTTCAATATAATTTATTAACAACGACCACGAAACAAAGGGAATAGTTGGTTTTAATCGCCAAGTTGACAGATCAGCCAGAGACTCTCTCAGAGACCCTTTACACCTTGGACTAGGTGTATCCTAGCCCAGCTAGTATTATTTTTGAAGTCCTACAAAGCAGTATTCAAAAGTATTTGAAAGGTTCAATTCCACTGATGTCTATTTAAGAGATCCCAGAAACTTATATGAAATAATTAAGTCGCTCTCAACCCATCTTGGATTGCAGATATAAAGACTTTTGTTAAACATTGATATGACCTTATTCCTAAAAACAACTTTACTTATTTACTAATCTATAAATTGCGTTAAAGATAAACAGTTTCCAAATCGCTTGTTATGTTTGCTTTCATCATGTTACCAACTTTTTGACTTAAGGCTTACGTCTTGGATTCACTTTAGGGTTCTATCATTTATACAAAAATTGATAAATACTAAGTAGCCAGCATACCTATAACAAAAGATTAAATTTTAAACATCACTAAGAACTGAAAACGTCGGCGACACAGTCTTTTAGTATCCGATAGAGAATTTTTCATATATGCTGTTCACATTTGGAACGAACTACCAATACACATACAAAATATCAGAAATGCGTGTAGCGATGTAATCTAAAAAAATATTTACAAATTTAATTTACTAAACTGACACGTTAACAATCATGGCATCTATATTCATTTAATACTGTACAACTATCAAATAAATAATTTAGCGTTAAGAAACCCCAAAATGTAATTGGGATTATTATCTTTTTATTTTGTATTATTATTATTTTTTTCTTTTTTAATAATTCTTCCTTTAATATACAAGTATACTTGATAAAGAACTAACTAATATGTGTGAGACTCTGTTTAACGACTGAGTTCTTAAAATGGATAGTGCTTTAACATACCACATAGCCCCACTTGTTGCACTAGGAAATATTTACCAGTAATAAAACTAATTTTTTTTCATCTACATCTTAAACTCCTAAGTATTTGATAGACAGTATTTAATAGTTGTAATTGATTTAAATAAAATAATTGCTTGGCTTTTCGAACGCATAGCGCGGCTTGGAACAGCAGCGATGGCACGCAGGAGTGGGGCGTGCCCTTTCGGGACTGCAACCTGTTGACGGGCCGTTGGCTCTGGCCCTTCCGCATATCATTCACGGAGCATAGAATCAAGTGAGTGAACCACAGATCATATTACTAGCGAATTGTTTGCTCATGATTTTCATCTCTCATGTAGAATCGTTGCAGCTGCCTTTATAGCCGCCGATGAGGATGTTTGCAATGATGCCCTAGAGGAAGTGTTCGGCCGTCGCCATGGGTAAATAAAGTTCCCGAGGAGGGCTGTAGAAATCACTGACAATTATCTCTAATTGTTTCCTCATAGCTGTGATCGCAACACAACCTTCTGTCTGCTCACGGAGAACAAGCCCGCGGTCACTCGCGATGTGTACACTTGTCTGTGTCGGGAGTCCTACTACTTGCCCAATAGCACGCTGCAGGGCTTTCGTGGTGATCTGGTCGAGTTATCCGAGGGCTTTGACAATTACTCGTGCATACCCTGTCCGGGAAGTTGTAGCAGTTGCGATCAGCACGGCGTCTGTCTGTTTCAGGAGGAGGAGGTCTTCAACATGGATGCCTGTTTGCGTCTTCTGGTGGCCATTGTGCTGGGCGCGTGTATTCTATGCTGCATTGTGCTCGGTGTTATTGTCTTTCGACAGCGAAAGTGCAAGGTAAACTAATTTATTTGTTTACAGTTGGTGGGAAGTTGTATTTTAAACTTTATGGCAAGACTAATTGATGCTTTCTTCCAGGCTATTGCCTCGGGAATGTGGACCGTATTGGAGACCATATTACTGGGCATTGTTTTACTTTATTCATCGGCACGTATACTTTCCGATGTAATCAATTAGTCACTAATCCTTTATGCTTTAACTGCAGGTTGCCGTCCATTTCTTTCCCGCCTCCACCGAACGTTGCCTGCTCGAGCCCTGGCTGCGCGAGCTCGGCTTCATCACATGCTACGGCGCCATTATACTGAAGCTCTACCGCCACTTGGTGGACTTCCGGACGCGCAAGGCACATCGCTGGGTGCTGCGCGATGTAGACCTACTTAAGTATCTGGGCACCATGGTCTTTGCGGTGCTTTGCTACATGTCTGCCTTTACGGCCTCGTCGCTGGACCTGCTGAAGGGCGCCAATCTGGATAGTCTGCGCGATGCGCACACAAACACCTGCTATCCAATGAACTGGGAATTGGTTACGCAGGCCAGCGAGGTGTCTATACTGTGCTTTGGACTGCATCTCTCCTTTGCCAGTCGTAATGCCAACACACAGTTTAGGGTAAGCTGAAGATTATGTGCCTAGCTCATTACATATTCAATTTAAGGCAGCGGTACTGTTTTTTTGACTAATTGCTAAAAGAAGTCACCAACAATAATATTAGGGCCTGGCATAGCTCAACGAGTTAGCAGGAGACCCACAATGTGAGTTCGTTCCCAGGCACTCGGTTCAAATCCCGGCGCTACTTTCATCGGAGAGACAGGATTTAAAAAATACTTGCAGTCTTAAAATTCTGTAAGCTTGGTCCCTTATACATATATAAAAGTCAAAGCTGCAGGACGATTCTTAATAATAACACTAAAAAATATTCCAACTGGACTCAAAATAAATAAATTTTTGTGCCATTTATTTACTGAAAATAGTAGAGGTACATTTTTTTTTGGGAATATACGTTTTCCGTTTATAACCTCTAAGAAAGAAAGCTAGCCTACGAGTTATAAATACATACTAGTACTATATATATGATCAGCATACTGATGCGAGTACGTATCTTAATCGAGATGTCCGTCTGTCTGATTCAATAATGGATGCAAAATTAAAAGCAATTACAACATTTAGTAATGCAATCAAACCCAGTACTTTATTTGAAAAAGATTTCCATGCCCCAATTTTTTAATACCGATGATGTTGATGTTGATGTTTTGACTACTATATGATATAGTGATCGGTCTGTCGAAAGTAAGCCTCGGAGTAGGCCTTTAAGAACGATGAATCGATGGAAGTCAACATAGAAACGATATGATTTAGAAAACTTACTTCTGTAATAACATATTGGAACCAAATTGTATATTGATAATTTTCTTATCATTACTAATTATATCGAATATCTTTTGAGTAGAAAATTGTGACTCTGGATATTCAAATGCATAATAAATAAAAACATTAACATTAAGGAAGACCGTTCGGAGCTTTTTCCAAATAATGTTGATGAAATAATGCAAATCCAACTCAGTTCCATTAGTAGTATCTACATATATAAAAGTGAATTTCTTTGGGGAACTTTATTGTATTTGATTTGTGATAATTGTATTCCAAAAACTACTGAATATTTTAGTAATAAAATTAAATATTTGAAATATTATTTTGATCTTAGTCATAAAATGGAATAGCAATATTAAATTGTACATTCTAAAATTGTTGTATTAAAGACATGTTCGTTTTGATTTCTTTTCCAGGAACGTCAGTTTCTAGTCACTGCCCTAACTCTTGAGTTTCTCGTTTCCACAAGCTTCTATTTGATGCGCTTCTTCTACTTGCCGGAAATGAGTCCTAGCGCTATCCTGCTGGCGCTATTCGTGCGGTCGCAACTGACGAATACCTTCGCATTGGGTTTGATATTTGTGCCAAAATTATGGTATCAGCACAAGCAGGTAACCAATTGTTTTCGTTTTTTTTTTACAATTTAATTTTGTAGCATTTACTTTCGTATTTTGAGATTTTGATTTCGTATTTACCAAAAGAAGTGCGTAAGTTTGTTGAGTACATGCTAGAAAAGTTGTTGTTGCCGTTCTTGGGCACCCACTCGTTCACTGTGCTCAGTAATTCAGTCAAGTCGTCGTCTCTAAAACAGTCAATACATAGTATCATCGTCTTTGAGCAAAATTAATATTGGTATTTGGGTTTGGTATTTGAATTGATGCAGGAAACGATTTTTGTTTAAAGTAAAATGCTGGAAAATAAGCTTTTTAAAAATGTTATATGTCATTTAAGTTGTTTTATATCGTTTTGTAATTTCTTATGTTCTGAAGAAAAAAAAAACAACAAAATTTATAGAATTAAGCTAACATTTCATGAATTTTAGTCAAGCTATGAAGTTGCTGCAAGTGTCATTTTGTATACTCGTCTAAATGAGAAAATATACGTTTGTTTACGCTTGTGAACTGTATGTATTGTGTATTATTTCGATTTTGTATAACTTTCGAGTAATTACCACTTTTTATTCATAATTTACTAGTCCATGCTACGCCTATGCTGATTTCACTTTGCATGATTTTCTACACAACTGTACCTATTCATTTAGTTAAGCACTTACCAACACTGAACACATAACCTTCCTAAGGGAGCGAAATAACTAAAATTGTCTGTAAATAAAAAAATAAACAAATAAATTAAAAAAAGGCTTAATGTAAAACGTCAAGGAACCAGTAACTAATTATAGAAACAATACCAAAACTATTACCGGAACTGGATAAAAAACCGCTCCAGAATGGAACCCATGATTAAACCAACCGATCAATTACGGGAACCAAAGACAGTATTGATACCGGAACCAAATAAATACTAAAACCAGTACATAAGCAATAAAGGATCAGATACCCGAATTGGAGCTAAGACTGGAACTAAGATGTACCTAAACAGGAAAAATTGCCGCTCCAGTACTGAACAGATGACTAAACTAACCGACCACTTACCGGCACCAATGACAGGATCGCAGAAATAAAGGGCCAAATAACCGAACTGGAACCAAGCCAACTAGCAGGGATCGTATTAAAACCCTAACCTGACCCTCTACCAGAACTAGTACCATATCTCAATCGAAATAAATACTGCAACCAGTACTTAAACAATAAAGGACCAGATAACCAAACTGGAACCAATTAGGGCCATTATTAAAGCCTTAACCTGACCCGGAACAAGAACCAGTACCATACCAAACAAGAGTACGGAAACAACGATTTATACCGGATCAGAAATATAAATAAATACCGAAACAGAAATGATTACCGGAACCAAGTAGTCGATCGGAAGTGTAAACCAGAGCAATTTGTAAGTGGGGATCAGTACCAAAGTCAAGAGCTAATCTGGAATCAGTACCAACTTAGACAAATATGCGTGAGCCCTTTTTTGTGGCCATGTGTTGTCTGGACGAAAAGTATGCTACATTTGTTATAAACGAACGCCTAACAGTGTTTCAAAAAAAGTTCATTACAGGACTTGCATTGTTGCTCAGCAAAAACAAAACTTATGTATATTGTATTTACAGAAATTGTTAAATATAGTTTATGTTCGCACCCTGCTCAGCACACACACACACACAGTCACACAAATATATATACATATGTACACATTCTTACAAACACAAATTACTTTTGCACAGTTACACAAATATATATACATATGTACACATTCTTACAAACACAAATTACTTTTGCATGCTTGCGCACTACGCATTCCTTATTTTGCCGAGAAAAACAAAATAGAAATCAAAAGTAATGACAAAAATCGGTTTCCTATTAATACCTGACATGCATACCAAAAAGAAATTTGTACGATCAAAATTTGGAAATAACTCAACTTGCCTCACTATAATTTAATCTCTCTCTTTATGTATCTCTTTGTCTGACTATACTATACTCGTATACCATGTACTCTCTCTCTCTCTCTCTGTGTCTCTTTAAACTAAGTATTTAGTCTAATTGTGATACGATGTATTAGCTACTACTTCTAAAATCCCGTTTTGTTTGGTCTTTCGTTTATGATTTTTAACTTGTTGCTCTCATTTACAGCACAACAGACACACACCCACCCAATGATTACACACACAGTCTCCCACTTGTTCACTCGAAAACCCCGAAGTTAAGACAAGAGCACAAGTTTTTTGTTTGTTTTTCTTTTTGGAATATACACTTCTGCCAATTTGAGTTCCTCTTATCTAGCGTATCTCTGATTTCCTTATTTTGATTTCAATTTCCGTCTTTCGTTACTTCCTGAGTGTGGTTTGCGGTGTTTGTTGCATCTTCATAGCTTGCAGGTTCGTTCGCTTGCCTATGATCTATCAATACGTTTACCTGTGGATGCTTTCAAGGGTACGTCACACGATGCTGGTCAGCGTTTGGGTGGCGGCTATGCTGGTCTCTGCTTGGGTGATCCCGACATTGGGGAACTAACCATATCGGAAATGAGTCCCGAGGACATCCGTGCTGAATTGAAAAGGTGCGCACAAAGTTCGAGACAAGTCTGTACCATACATACAATGCATACAAAAATATATAACTCTATTCCAGACTGTACACACAACTTGAGATTCTGAAGAACAAAACGCTGAGACAGGACAATCCACACATTAGCAAAAGACGTGGTGGACGTAAGGCGGGTCATCGTCGTTTCTCATTGCAAGTAAGTGGCGCACAGACTGTTGTCGTTGTTAAGGCGCGATCACTGTATCATAACAAAACCAATCGGAAAGGCAACACCAGCAGTAACAGCAACAGCAACAACAACGCATAGCTGTAAAGTGCTGCAAAAATCCTTGAAAGCGATTTGCTTTCAACCACTCCAGCCAACAACGCCCCAGTCTCTATTTATTCTTAAACTAGAACCTGCGCTACCTTCTTACAAGACTCTCTTTCTCCTGTACTTTACTCTTTCTAAATCCACTTTGTAAATTAATTTGTATGCCAATATATTAATATAACAACATATATATGTATATCATTGTTCTTGTCATGACTTGTACTATAAACAAACCGAAACAAAAAACAAAAAAAAAAACAAACAAACAAACAAACTCAAAACTACATCAAACCTACCACCAAACAAAATGTCCAACATGTCTATATAGAAAAAGGGCAGCAAAGATAAGGTAAGAACCGTCAGCCTTATTCGTATCTACATACATACTCGTACATACTTCTACATGTTACATTATCCTTAACTGTTGTACTAAACCAAATCGAAACGAACTGCGCACGTTTGTCTAAATGGCATCTGGTTCCGATTGCATGCAGCCCCGATCTCTCCAAAGTGCTAGGCCAGCAGCAATTCTTTCGGAATTAACTGTCCTCTGTATCCGTATACTCGTATGCTCTATGTATTCTTAATATTGTGTTGCGTCTATTAGCCAGTCAGCGCCAATCGAACGCGTCCCTCTACTCGTATGCATGTTACCAACGCGCTGTCTACTCGTATGCTAAATAAAAAAAATAGCACAACATACTAATTATGTCTAATGAACACGCACTAAACTCGTAGTTCTCTAATTGTTAGTTACTAATGGCATTCAGTATATCTTGTAATGTCGCACTAAACTATATATCTTACTATCCGATAATTCATAGGCTCTAAGTGCCAAACATCGCAGCAATAAACATCATCAGGATATTGAGATAACCGAGGCGGAGCCATCGCGCACACCCGAGGACTCGGTATGCAGCGCCGAGGGTCCCACAGATACCTATGCAGAAATCTCGGGCATATCGCATTCAATGCTATCCCATTCCATGGTCTCACACTCTGTTGTCTCGCATTCGAAGTAGAGGACAGAAGCCGAAGCATACTTTTAAACAACAACAACAACAAAAATAAATAACAAAACAAAAAACGCAGTGTTCCAGCAAGTAATTAAAAACAAACAACCAAATATATATTGTATATATCTATATTATAAAAAATATATGTTTATGTATAGGTATATATAGTATCTTTATAGATATGTCTATCTGTGGATAATGTGCAGCATATAAGCGCAACACAAAACAAAACAAAAAACACATACAATAAAAAATTACTTTAATTTTCAAAATGCTATGATGATATACTCGTATGAATGAATGAAAAGCTAGGTAAAGAATACAAAATACAAACAATAACATAAATTACTTTATTTTAACAAACAAAAAAATATATATATCGATGAAAACATAAATGAAGATGAAGTAGCTAAACGGATAAACAACAAAGCACGTGCATGGCCGCAAGATTTTGTACAATTTTTATAAATTTTTAGAGCTGTTTTTTGTGTGGTCTACATTTATAATTTTCGAAATAGAGCAAAGCCAGCGAGCTAGCGCAAAGAGCCCACCTTTGTAGGTAACGTGAAACTGTAAAAAAGTTAAAAAGAAAAAACCAAACAAAAATTGTATAAAAAAAGAGGAGAACAAAAACTCAAAATGAAGCTATTTATGCCAAATGAAGCCGCAAATTTACACTTAAAGACGTTTGATTTGTTTAATTTAAAGTCAGTCCTAAATCATTTTATGCCAACTAAGTTCCTTTGTGTCAGTTACAATTACAAAATAGTTACTAATACTAGTTTGCCTTTGATTTATAGCCATAACTAACAGAGCTCCCACTGCCTGGGGTTGGGGTTAAGGTTAGGGTAAGGCAGGCAGGCAGGCAGGCAGAAAGAATCACTTACAAGTAGAACCGAAAATAATCAGTTGTAAATTTGAGCTTATAGGCATTAAACATTTACCAATTCCCATATACTATATACATACATACCTACTCGTACATACATACATACGCGTACTTACATACAATTATACTCGTATACTTACCATTTTATGCTTAGGCACTACATCAGCACTCGATACCCTCGAAAATATCGGCTGAAGTGAATTTTGTATATAGTATTTATGAAGAACAACAACAACTACATTACACTTGTTAACTTTATAGGCGCAGATCGGATCGATGGTGGGACAAACTGTTGTTGCATATTGTATTAAGTAATGCGGATTGTTACAATAAGTTGTGCAGGAAACTGAGAGGCGAATGTTCGAGCAAGGACGAGGGCGCGAAGCATGTTTGTAGTTGTTTAAGTCAAATTTTATAGTAGCTGAGAAGAAAAAACAATGTCCAAATGGTTTTCGATCTTACAGATGACATGATTTGATGAGGCACCCAATACGCTCGTACTTACAGAAATGCATTCAAGTTCGAGCGCGTGTTTAATTGTTTTTTGCATTGTGTAGGTTATTATGAAAATTATAGTAACAAAAAAAAAAAGAAAAAAAAAACAAATGCAAATACTTATAAATAATTAAGAAATACATTTCAAATGTGTTTGCTATACTTTATAAGTTTGTATAGAGCGTCACTGAAAAAAAGGGCGCAACTGAAAGCGTGAAATTCTGAAAAAGTCCAAATCTGTGTGTGGGAGGACATCGATGTCAGGCGGAAACAGAAGCCATTCACACACACACACACACACACTCACACATACCATACATACTAACAGTACATACAAGCATAGGCATTTATGTATTATATATACTACATATACAGTTATATGAAGCATATGTGTATATTTAAAGAAGTGGTCAAATAATTAAATAAAACAACATACAGCAAGCAGTGGCGTGCGAGGTGGAAAGGAGATGAGCATTTAAATGAAACATATTTTTGATTGCGTTTGATCAAAAGTGTGTGTTAAAAGGATTTATAATATTAACGAGCAACAAATTAGTATACATACGATACATAAATACAAAATTATACTTATATTAAATATAAATATGTATATGTATATGGGTGTATCTGCATAATACCTAACAATAAAGAGCAGTGTAATTCAAATAGTTGCGTGTATTGCATATGAAAAACCACAAAGAAGCATTTTGAAAGTGTGATAGTGTTCATAATATTTGTTCATTGTAATAATCAAGGAAAAGCGAAAACAAACAAAAAATACCAATGTAAAAACAAAGCTAAAATGGTGAATGTAATTTATGTAATTTAATACCAGAATGCTATTGAGAAAACTGTATCCTCAGAGCAACAATCCAATGTGGACCTACTTGGGCCAGTCAGGACGAAATGTGAGCTGAGAACGAGAAGTTCCATAGTTGGAACGAAATTGTAACGCAAATACTTTCAAATGAATTATTACAGAGAAACAAAAAACTTGAAAACAAAATGGTACTAATAAATACAAATAATGATTAAATCACTCCAACCTTGTTCTTTTTTTACCAAGAGGAAAGAGGCCCTAAACAGTCCTAGATGTACCTAAAAAAGGTATCACTATAACGATTTGTACTTTCACAAATCGTTGCCAAATGCGGAACGGAATCTGGAATCCAGTTAACTAAAATGCTTGGGTCTGACTCAGCTCAACGAGCTAACAGGAATACCACAATGTGAGTTCCTTCCTGAATATATGACTCAGTTCGGAACCACCTACCTACCACCATGATGGTCATCGCATAAAGCATGATTTCAAAATTATTTGCAGTTCAACAATTCAGCAAGAGCGGTTTTTGTGAAATCTGCAGACCTATTAAGCAGCATAAAATTAAAAAAATGCAGTCTACGCACATATTCGTGTAACCTTACAGATAAAAGAGTTAAAGAACTAAAGAGTTTCGAGGCTTTGCTATTAACAAGAAAGGAATGCTAAAGTCGAGCGAGCTCAACTCTAAAATAACATCCCACAAAAAAAAAATAATTATAAAAAAATGGATTAATTTAATTTAATAAAAAATATTCAACGCATGCATACACACATAAGTGTTAATGTACAATTTCAACAGCATACATTTACATCAGAATCGTGTATGTATGTTATAAAAAAAAACACGAATTGGGGGGAGTGGGGTGTAAAAAATAAACAAACTTGATCTGCCTGGGGCTTATAGGAACCTTGATACCAAGCTTGGATATCCTAGCTCTTGTACTTGCTGAGATCCGACGGACATGGCTATATCCTGATCAAAAATATATATACTTTTTGGGGTCTGCCACGCCTCCTCCTGTGTGTTACATACATTCGCACAAAACTACCCTTTGGGTACAGGGTATACAAATTGCTTTATAAGCGAACTTAAACCTTTCGAACTAGACAGAAATTATCAATTTTGTGCAAGCTAACAAGAACTTGGAGATTATTTCCAACTTGGTGGAACGATTTATATGTACATATATATTTATAAAAATACATATTTGGAATAAAATAATAATAGCAGTTTTATGAAAAAATTGATATAAGGCCAAATATTGATAGTATGGAAATTAAATGGAATCAAAGAGGGGATTGTGTAAAATTTTTAAAGAATTCAATGAAGAGTATTCGGTTGTTATCAAGAGACAACTGTGAATTTTACATCTTTCCTACACTTTAATTGAAACCATAGGGCAGACTAGTAGACAACAGCCGCTAGGTAGAATGTCTGGCCATCTGGTTTCCATGGTAAAGACAAGAATTGTTTTCCATTGAAAGATCAGATAGAACAGACTATAGCTCGCAGCCCATAACAATAAAGAAATAAAGTTTTTGTTGCGAGGTGTGCGTAGTGTGATATAAGATTATTTAAATGATTTAAAGGATAAAAATCTTAGAATATAAATTGGCCAAATTTGGGAATAACTTTTGAATATTTCGTAGCACTTTAACCGACTTCAGGACTCCGCCAAATAGATTCGATGCTAAAGTTTAACAAATCGGACCATTTCGCCCCAAGCGGAACAATGTAAATTAATATTTCCTTGGCATCTGAGCTACACAAGTTCATTTATATATTACTTCTACATGTCGGACTTTATTTGTATACAGTTTTTCGTTTTTTTTTAAATATATGTATATATAATTGAAATATTGCGCGCATATTCATGCTTTCGTTAGTTTATGTACGTATATTACAGATACATACATACATTTACATACATGGGTTAATTTCGTTTCAATTATGTACCTAGAATTTAATTTCGAGTTACTCACTTGTGCTTGTCGCCATTTTATTTAAGAGCTATAGTTAATTGGTATTTAGTACGTAGATTCGTATTCAATTCAACATGATTAGTTATTTTGCATTCATTTTTGTTTGTTTTAGTTCATCTTTAGCTATTTGTATACAAAGCTTAACATTAGTTGCGATTAGATAAGCAGTTCACTTTGTTTTTGTTGCTTTTGATCGTCAACTCGTTTTATTAAAACTTAAAAATGTTATTAGTAACCATACTTAAATGTATTTTGGTTTTACATGCGCTACGCATTTGTTGCTGTGTTGTGTGCCATTTTAGGTAGACTTTTTGTTTGAGTGTATTATTCATTAATATTAGATATACATACATGTAGATTTATATATTTATATAACACTATAAAATGTACAGAATTTTGGTTGCGCTACAGTTTAGTACGTACAACTTGAAAGTAATATTAAATTTAAAAATTTCATCTCATTAAGTAGTAAAAATTTCTAATTATTATATTACAAAAACAATTATAAGCTTGTTACGTTTTAAAAGCTAGGTTTTAAAAATTATGTTCTTTTTTTGTTTTGTTTCGTTTAGTTTAAATTGTTTATACTAGTTTGGCGCATAAAGCTGTGTTGCATTTTGCATAGATTTCAATTTCGATTTGCTCTCTCGCTTTACTTAAATACTTCATTTCAGCGGTCAAATGCAAGTGTTTATGAAATAAATTTCGTTATGTTTTAAACAATCTCAGCGTTCAGTTTGATTTGTTAAGCTTCAACAAACAAAAGCTGCACTATAAACTTAAATTAGTTTAAAACGACGGTTAACATTTTTTAATATAGAGTAAAATTTAGGCGAACAAAATTTAAAAATAGTATAATTAGTTAAAAATAAAAACAAATTTTAATTAAAAATAAATTTAAAGCCAAACAAACGAGATCCTGCTCGCGTGCAAACGTTGTAAGAGTTTTATGTTGTTCATGTTTTGAGAAATAATTTCAAAAAGGATTGTTTTTGATTTTGATTTTTTTTTTTTTCAAATAAATAACTTTGTGGTAATTTAAAAATGACTTAAGTGTTGGTCGTAAATAAATTTGAACAAAAGAGTAGAGGGGTGGTCGCAGAAACATGTTTTTAAAAATTAACACTTTCATAATATTTATAAAAAATATATCTCTCTATATAAATAGTAAATAAGTATGTAAAGAGCAGATGCCAACTTGCATATGCATGTGCGTGCGTGTTTGTGTGCGTACATATGATTGTTGAAAAGAGCACATTACAAAGTCTACAGGGAGTAATAATAAATCTCATAGAATACGAATAATAACAAAAGTTTGAAGATTACAAAATAAAATTACAAACATGTATACAAAACAAAAATCGATTGCACTTAAACATTAGCGTTCTAATCCTCGCTAATTCAGTATTTTCTTTGCTTAATTTTCTTCTTTTTTTTTTTCTTCCTTTAGTTTAATTTATATTTAGCAAAATCCTAACACGAGCCCTAGCAGCACTGTGAAAATTTGCCTGTCGTTGGTTGCTTGATGTTCCCGCCATTTAAAGGTTTCGTCTTTGAAATCGTCTTTCATTACTGTTGAGTTTGTTGGTTGTTGTTCTCTAAGCTGTGGTGCTTGGTTTCTTTGGGTCAACTATTACGCGCCCACCGCTGGGCCTTCCCTAGAGCGGATGCAGCTTCGTTGTATGAACGGTGAGAGCGCTACGCTGCGTGAAGCGCTTGTCACAGTACGGACAGGTGTATGGTTTCTCGCCGGTGTGTGTGCGTATGTGCTTCGTTAGATAATCCTTAACGCTGAAGGATTTCTCACAGTAGCCGCAATGAAATGGTTTTTCACCTGTAATATTCGCAAGAGAAGGCGTAAAGACATTAGCAAATCAACTGCATTTTGCTGGATGGAGCGTGCAGTACCAAAAACTTTGATATATAGTATGTAGGTATATATAAATTTGCTCAAAAAATCAAACTATATATATGCATATATATATATATTTTGTAGTTGGTTGAGTGTTAAAATGCATTCGACATATTATTACGTAATGAGATGAGGCGGCCAAGAGCGAGTTGTTGCACATATGTATAGTATATACATAATATATAATTGTATATAAAGTATATAGAAATTTTTTGTTTGTTTAAAGTATTTGATATTTTTGCAAGACGAAGAGCATGGCAAATGGTTGAACATCTGTAATATGTTGAGTGAGTTATTTACTCCAAGAAGAGTGCCATTAGGTCGCCGCTCTTTGCCATTTCCTTCTGCTGCCGCGCTGCGGCTCTTGTCTGGTGAGCGTTGCAGCGTGAGCGTGACGTGAAAGTTTTGAGAGAGACTGTTTTGGATATGACAAATGAGAATGAGATATTTGCTTTTTGATTTGATTTTTTTTTTGTGTTTTCAACACTTGGTTGTTTTTTTTTTTTTTTTTGCACATTTTTTGTGTGAATTTGAACGATTGAGTTGGTTGATTGTACAAGTCGATTGATTGGTTGATAACGAGAGAGAGAGAGATTGATTGATTGAGTTGATTGACTGACTGATTTGATTTGAAAAATATTGCTTCTCACCCGTGTGAGTCGTTAAATGTTTGTTCAGGTAATCCTTAACAGTGAACGCCCTGCCACAATAGCCACATCTAAATGGTTTCTCACCTGTATGTATGCGAGTGTGCTGTTTTAGTGTATTCGATTGAGTGAAGGACTTGCCGCAGTAGGAGCACGTGTAGGGGCGTTCTTTGGGCGTGGCGCTGTTTGTCGAGAGTAGAGTGGAGTAAAGTTTGAGAGAGCGAGATAAAAACAGAGAGAGGTAGAGAGCACGCGGAAGAAAAAAGAGAAAAAACCAAGAATTGTACATTAGTTATATACGATCAGCTGTCAAATATAAAAACACATAGACACACTAATTTGAAGCGCATGAGCTACGCCTACAAGCGCAGCAACGACGAACTCATGCGCTTTGGATATTATACAATTTGGTTTGGACATCAATTAATGTTGGTATTCTTCGGATCACCGAAGGTAACGTAATCCTTGCAAAGTAGTCATTATTTTATTGATAAAGTAATTTTATCTGAGCAAAATTGTAGTTCAGTTTGAAGAGATCAGTGTAACGAGAATTACAGACGGACATTGTTAGATGCAATGTTATTGTAATTCAGAGCTTTGCAAGAATACACAATGCAATAGTAGCAAAAGAGCGGATTAGGGTTAGCCCTGCACCACACACAGAAAGAAGGCTTGTATGGCGCAGGGGCGCTGTCAATATGTATGTTTGAGTAGTATATAAAATGAATTTACTCTGCTTCGCCCGTATGTATCTTGCGGTGCATGGCCAGCGTGCCGGGTGTCTTGAAAGTTTTCGGGCAATCGGGACATTTGTGCCGAATCTTGTGCGCCTGATCAGAGGCCCCCGTTTGCGGGCTCACAAGTACGCTGGTGGCGGTGGCGCCAGAAGTTGGTGGCTGCACGGCTGGATTCGCTTGAATTGCATAGGCAGGCACCGAGTTGACATCGCCACTATCGCTCAGGCTGAGCGGCTCCTCCTTAATGATAACTTGCGGATGCGTGACAGTGCCACCATTGCCATTTTTGTTCAGCTTGACCGTCAGTGGAGGCACCTTCAGCGCCCCCTGTGCTGTTGCATCACTCAAATCGTCCTGCTGTTGATCCCGCTGCTGATGCTCCAACAGCTCTTGTTGCTGTTGTTGATGATGATGTTGTTGTTCCTGCTGCAATTGCTGCTGCTGCTGCTGATGATGTTGCTCTTCCGGCGTCAGTCTCATATCACGCGGCGCAATTGCCGGCATCTCGTCTGGCGTTACTGGCGCCTCCTGCTGCTCCATAAACGCTTGCTGCCCAGCCGCCAACATAGCTGCTGTACACAAGGAGCCGCAATGTGCGCACTTGTATTCGTCGGGATTCTGCGTGGCTGAATTGACGCCATAGACGCTGCAGACAATGCAGCGAGCTAGAAATGCCGGGGCTTGGTGCGCCATGCGATAATGTTCGTCCAGCTGCTGGGCGCTCACAAACTTCTCATCACAGTTGTTACAGGGATAGCTAGGTTTCAAGTGCTGTTGTTGCTGCTGCTGTGCAGCCTCCAGCGTCGTGATAGATCCCTGAGTATTCAACGCGATACCATGACACAGATGCATGTGTTCTGCAGCATGCTGCGCTCGCTCAAATTGCTGATGACACATTGGGCAGTAGTGAGTACTTATTACGTTGGGATCCATACTGAGATTTGGCAGGAACGCAGTCTTCAGCGTATCCATTGTGTGCGCGGTGGCGGCAGGGGATCCAGCGGCTACGTTTGCTATGACGGTTGGTAGTTGTTGATGTGCCGGCTGCTGTGGTGGCGGTTGCTGTTCGTCGGGGCGTGGCAGACGCAGTTCCTGTGTGTTGGTAGTAGACTTTATCATTTCACTCTCTCTTCTATTGAAGCGTTTGCCTTGTTTGCAAGCGTTTTTTTTTTTTTTTTTTTTGGTATATTGATTGTATGGCTTTTGCTTTAGTAGTTGCTGCAGCTGTAGCGGCAATTGCGGTTAGTTTAGTGCATATGTGAAGCTGTTGGTGGTGGTGGTGGCGGTGGCGCTGATGTCTTTATTGTTTTTTTTTTTATTTTTTACTGGTGTGCGTACGTGTTGGCGGCGGCGTTTTTGCGTGATAACGAGCAGAGCAAAATGAAAAGCGCGCTGTCCTTTGGCACAAGAAGAAAGAGAACAGAGTAATTACACTAATAATCAGTAAAAAACGGGTCGCAAATTAAGCGTAAATTAGCACACAAATTCACAAAAGCTAGCCACTGGCTCGCGCGAAACGAAAACGAAATCAGAAATCAGTTTGTAGCGCCGTTTCTGCTGCTGCTTCTTCCGATCTGCTGCTGTTGCTACTGCTTCTGTTTCTGTTCCCCAAGTTGACCCCCAAGTCCCCCCACTGCGGCAGCAGTAGCAGCAGCAGCAATGCGTTCGAATTGAAATTTTTTGGTCTGTCATATTCTAAATTCGGAATTCTATTTTGATTTTTTTTTCGTGGTGTGGTTACAACTCCGCGATTCGCAGCTTACCCAGCGTTTGCACGTATTGCACTTGTATTTTTGCGGCCGTTCTTGTGGCTAAATTGCCAATTAGTTTAGCAACATTTTCCTTTGTACAATAGTATTAACAAAATGTAGATGTACTTTATTTTTATCGTGGCCAAGCTTTATAAAGCTTTATTTGCAAGCAAATTGTGTTGAGAATGAATGGAGAAGACTGCGATAATAGTCGATGTTTTCCTCGATGTACATATATCGAATAGTAGGTATTGCTTTCGATAGTAACCAGGGCTGGGCAAACCACTGCATAAGTGCTGTGTACTTGTTTTTTTTTTTAGCCATTTCATATATAAACATTAATATCAACATAAACATCTACAATAACAAATATAAATATTTGTCATTAATAATTAAGATATGGAAATGGTTTTATGTTTTTATTTTAACACTTAAAAGCTTGAAATTAAATCGAAATTTGATTGAACAATAGGAACTGCGACCGTACTTTGCGTGACGACAGATTATTTCACGTAACCACCTCTGAATGCCATTTCAAAGGTGGCTGCCAATTTCACAACATCAGACAATTCGATCGGCAAACACCAACAAAGAAGTATTTACAAGATTTTTATAATTTGTGCTTTGTAAAGCACAGTTGACTAGTCAACGCCAACTGAAAGAACTGACTAGAATAAAGTAATTTGACAAATACGACAGGCGACGGCGACCAAAGCAATAGCTACCAAATAGCGCAGCAATGTCTTCAGCATGGGGAAACACTATCAACCAGCCTATACCAACAGCCAATCTGGCCGATATAATGTCGGAGCAGTATGCACATCGCTTGCACGATAGAGAGCTTAAGCAGCTTAAGAAAAAACGCCAGCAACAACAAAGTAGCACCATGTGGAGCCACCAGCAAGCAGCTACTCCTTCATACTCGGACGTAGCTGGAGCGTCCAAGCAGACTCAACAGCAGTCAGTCAGTAACGACGCCGACGAATGGGAAGACTACTCGGAGTTGCTGGAGGCAAGTAAGGAGGAGAAAGTGTCGCCGGATCTGGATCAGGAAGAAGCCACAGCTAGTGGAGCTGAATCCGACGTTGTGATCGCACAGATGCTGCAGTCGCAATTTGATCACGAGTACAATGAGGAGTTGCGACGCATCGAGCGGCAACGGAACAAGCAATCCAAAGTGACTGTTATACTGGACAAGTTTCGACGCAGTGGTGACGTTGAATTTCTGCAAGACACCGAAGCCGATAACTATGAGGAAGATGAGCTGGAGCAGCTAAAGAGCGACTGGGATCGCTTCGAAACAAATGAAAAGATGTTGGAGGCCATACCGAAATGTGGTTTCAAAGTGGACAAAGAGGGCGAGATGATAACAAAGCATGATCCACAGCTATGCGGCGTGCGTAATGCTCAGCGCGTCATGTCCTTCCCACCAGAATTTGCGACAGGTGATGGTGCTGGCTTTGACATGAAGCTGTCGAACCAGGTTCGTTCTTTCAACTTAGCGTTGTCACTTGTTTTTAAAGGGTTTTCATGGCATTTTAGGTCTTTAATCAGTTGAAAATTTACTCGAGACGTGGAGGCGCCATGCAGAAGCCAAAAATGAACGACCGTAAAGAAAATGTGGCCACAGCTGAAATGGGCGTGGATGCACCAACTCGTCTTTTGCTGTACAAGCTCATTAACAATCAAATACTAGAACAGATCAATGGCATCATATCGACGGGAAAGGAGGCGGTCATATTGCATGCCAATTCGGATTCCAACTTCACAGGAACCAATGAACATGGTCATAGTGGTGGAATCCTAATGCCCCCTCACCTACTACCGAAGGAGTGCGCGATTAAGATATTTAAAACAACGCTTAATGAGTTCAAGCAACGAGATCGTTACATCAAGGATGATTTTCGCTTCAAGGACCGCTACCGCAAGCAAAACAAGAACCGCGTCGTCATTCATATGTGGGCCGAAAAGGAGATGCACAATCTGATGCGCATGCAAAGTATAGGCCTCAATGTTCCTGATGTGGTGGTGCTGAAGAAACATGTGCTGGTCATGCGTTTTATTGGCGACAATCACCACGCGGCCCCTAAGCTGAAGGACGCGCGTCTTAGTGATTCCGAGTTGAGTTGTGCCTACGAGGAAATTGTGGCTGCCATGTACAAGCTGTACAATGAAGCTAAGCTGGTGCACGCCGATTTGAGTGAATACAACATATTGTGGTACCAGGGCAAATGCTGGTTCATCGACGTGGCACAAAGCGTAGAGCCTGAACATCCCAGTGCTCTGGAGTTCCTTATGCGCGATTGCGAAAACATTTTGCAATTCTTTGCCAAGCGTGGCCTCTCTAACATATACACAACGGAGCAATTGTTCGAATATATCACCGCTCTCAATGCGGAGACTCACAATGCGGCAATGCTGGAACGCATACACACTCGCGGGGCTTCAATGAACCAGGCAACTGCGCCCAATCAACAAGAATGTCCCGATGAATTGAAGCCACTGGAATATCCATTTGAATTGGCTTGGGAAAAATCTCAACTGGATCGGGAGTCTAAGCGCTTGGAGCAGCTCCATTTGAGCGGTGACAGCAGGATCGTGGATGATAACAAAAATAGAAACGATGAGGACGACAACAACACTGCCAAACATTAAATCCATAATACTTCCTAGCGCGATTACAGTGTCTAAAAATATTCTCTATAATTTGGATGAATAAAATTCAAAATTAAAACATCTACAGTGCATCAAGCCAAACTATTGTAATTGTTCACTGTCATCTTTAATAGCTTTGCACTTGAATTGTAATTAATCAATTAATGCAGTCATTTTGGTGTGTGTAAAACCCATGTTGTCCACAACACGCGCCACTCAGGGGTATTGCCTAAGCTAGCCCGGCAATTGAACTTATTTGAACCGCACACAGCAGCAGCTGATGACTGCGCATTTGCATTTAATTGAGAGATTTGTGTGCGAATTCAAAAGCAATCAATTGATTAAACTCTTCACAAATACGAGTATATGGGCTATGCATCAAACGCGCTTTGTTTGCCACGACATTATGCAGGAAGTGCGTCGAGCACTTCAGACACTATCAATGGGAACGCTGATGACGTTCGCAGCTGGACTTTAGAAATAGATCAAAGGCAGTATAGCATTAGCACCAGCAAGTATGCAGGCGCATACAGTCGAACCTCTACATAAATGTATTTGTGTTAAATTGGTTTAACCAAGGTTTTAATGAATTTAATTAACAAACATAAAACATGTATTTTCTAATCCCTGTGACATATGTATATTATTCATTTATAATTATATTTAGTTTTGGCATTAATTTATATTGCTTGTGGGTGATTATTGTTTATTGGAACCATCCTATATTTCTTAAATTAAGCTAATTTTTTTTTTAAAGCATAGTTTCTAAAAACTTGTATGGGCTGAAATGTCGATTCTGTAAAAATTAGTTTCCATAAATTTCTTAAAATAAAATTTGAATGTTCTAGCTCCAGTTGTTAACTCTCCATTATAGTAGTAGCTATATGTTTCGTTTCAATATAATCCGACGACGCAACACCTTTGAAGTAACATATAAATAGCTTTCCTCAACACCTCTGTCTATTATTAGTTCTTCATTTCGAAGATTCTACTGTAGGCAAAAGTTCAAAATTGGTTTCAGAGAGTTCAGTGTCTTTGACTGCTTCATCACCCATCAATCAAAATTGAACTCGTAATCAGCAAACGCTTCACTCGAATGTTTTATTTAGCTTACAATGTTCGACAAATATTTTGAAAATATTTTTACAATTTCACAGTTGACGCTCGGTGGCGAGAACGCAAATTGAGCTCCAACACGCAGCATCTATTACGGGTAGCGTAGTATTTTGAAATAATGATACGCCATGCACATATACATACAAATATGTATGTATGTATATGATCTTATACAGACGAGTATATGTATGTATCAACAGACAGACACCACATAAGGGGGCCCGCCTGCCGCAGCCAATGCCGTTCTCGATGCCGATGACGCAAAGAATAGCAAAATGGAACTGGGGGCTCGTTGCTGGCGCAACTCGAAATAGACAAAGAGTACAAGAAGACAGAAATAACGAAATTCAAATGCTAAAAAATATGTATTAAAAAGTGAGCAATTGTAAGAAAACAATTTCTTAGCATACACATTATCATATAGCGAAATAAAATGTGTTAGCCTGGTAAAAACATTTCGCAGTTGGCAGAAGAAATATTAAAAAGCATTTTGAAATTGCTGAATTGCCTTTCGCGAGATATTTGTTTGTGTCTGGGAGAAATAATTTGAAAAATAACAACAATAAAAAGCGCAATCATTGAAAAACAAAAGCGAAGAAATATGGGCGCACAAACGATAAGGTCATGTGGATGACACCAGAAAAATTTGCTGGGATGATTTGAAAACAATTTACAAATTTTAAGCCAGTCATTTGAAAGAATGAAGGACGCTAAAAATACATTAATTTGCGCTTTTTATAACAAATATTTGTTTATATATTTTTATATTGGTTATGCAGTCCACGTATAGGAAGGTGAATGCAGTTCAAATTTTTTGCAAACTCAATTGTCCTTCAGAAATAATTCTTGCTCTTTTCATTTCGGATAATATTGGAAAACATGTTCAGAATAAAATGGGATCGGAACAGGGGCCTTGCATTTTATAATCGACTCGTCTTCTCATGCTTATTTAGGAGTTTGAACAGTTCTTTAATGATATAAAAAAAGTTCTATTTGAAAGTTGTGCAATTTCCTAATTTTTGCAAGTTTTGGTGGGATCTGTTTTTCATGAAAGAAAACTTGTTGTTAAAAGGGTGTTGAAGACAAGATTTAAGCTTTCTTTTTATTACTCCTATTGGTATAAGGAAAACGTATTCATTGAATACCTTTGTCGGACGATTTCCATTCAATTCTTCATTCGAAGCAAAAGAAAACTGATATTTAAGCTAGGCATGTAAAACTAAAAAAACTCGCTTTCTTGAGAGACAACGGCAAAACGCATAACGCGAAAGCAATAATCATAAAAGACGACAGCAAAAAGGAAAAGGAGCACGCAATGGATAAAGCTGCAAAAACAGACATTGCGTTTGGATCATCAATTAAATGGCCTGAGCATATAATCAGCATCAACAACAACAACAAGTAAACTTATGTACATAAATATGTACATATGTATGTATGTATGTGTGCGTGTTTATGGCGTCCGATGGCACAAAATGTGTGCCGGCCTAATTGATTTGTTGTCGATTTGCAAGGACTGGTCGCGCGGAACACGCGGAGTAAGACTGAAGACTAAAGACTGCTTTATTTGTTTAAGTGTAGCTGATGGTATATGTGTACACACACACAAACAAACAAACATACACGCACAGACCAAATGACAGCTCGAGGAAGGGGGCTCGTCGTCGTCATCAATGCTGCTGCAGTGCTGCGACTGCGCAGTCAACGTCAAACTCATGCAGCGTCTCTCGTTTGGTGGTTGTGATGTGGTCAGATAATGTGAAATTGTGACCGCAGTGGCCACTTGAGTGGCCAAGTGGTAAGCCGGTATGCGCATGAGCATTCGTTGCCACACACAATCGCAGGCACACTCATGCGTCTTGGAATTTGCGCGCAAACAATTTATTTGCATTTTTAATTTTCATGTTCTTGTTTTTGTTGTCGTTTTTCGTTTTTTTCTCGTTCATTTTTGGTGCAACGCACCAACCTGCAACTTGGTCAACGTGGCAAGCATGTGGCATGGCTTCTATTTTGGGTCTAACTTGTTGCAACAACTACAACAGCGATGTTGCTATGTCGGCTTCAACAAGTTAACCAAGTTAGCAAAGCTGTTGCAAAAATAGAACTTTAATTTATTGTGGCTGCTGCTGCTGCTGTGTTGCTGCTGCCATCGCTTCTTGTCCTTACATGGCCATCATATCATTTTCATGACAATGTTGCTGCTGGTCGTTGCACGTTGCAAAATGTTTTCAAGCGCTTTAAACGAAAGTGAAATGTTGTACTATATATACACACACACATACATACATAGTATGCACGGTGTCTAGATGCCTGCTATTATTGTTGTTGCTCTTGTTCTGCGCCATGTGTTTAACTATTTTTAAAACGTAGTAGTGGTGCCATAATTGTTGATCGTTTGTGACGGCGTCTACAGAATAGTGATGCCAATGCCAATTTTAATTATGGCCAACCTTTGAAAAGTGGGCGTGTAGAAGTTGCAACAGTGGGCAGCAACGTGATAAAAGCTTGAATAATTAATGACATATATTAAAAATAAATGGAAAGGTAAGACAGATCCAATTTTTATACACTTACTGCCTTAAAGAGGCAACTGTTAGTTTTCCTAAGCTTTTAAGCACTACTAGGACACATTATCTAACTCCGAAAAATATTAAAATAATAAAAAATATGAAAATATTAAAATTTGTCTTAGTATGATCTTTTTTTTTGCTAAAAATATACATTTCGTAACTAAATTTGTTATTAATCGTCTGCTGTTTCATCAATATCGATTAATTATAACAAATAGGAACGATCTCAGCAACAAAGTCTTAGTTGGAGAATTTTGGGGAAAACGAGCACTGGCTCGACTTTAACAATTTACTCGCTTTATCAGCGGACTATTTTTTTTTTGTTTGAATTTTAACTGAAATTAATCAAACCAATATTGATATAAATTCTCAATGAATAATAAGCCGTTCATCACAATTTATTTTGCATACTTCTATAAGAAGTCCAGTACATCTAATTCTGTTTTTACACGGTCTTTCTAAAATTAAAAATTGCATATACATATGTATATTTCTTTAGAAACCAATCTACCGTGTAAAAACAGAATTAGGAGGATTTATATTCTGGTTGTTTATTGCAACTCATAGCGTGCATATAATTCAATAATTATATTTTTATACATAGCAGCCAACCAAAGCCAACCCACTTGAATATTTTCAATCTATGTAGAGACAATCATAATTGGTGAGGAAAACAGTACTAAATGTGTAGGTTAACATTAATTAACGTTCAACAACATTATTCAACAACAATCGATTCAACAACATAAGTTGAATGTAATCCTTTTCTTAAAGAATTAAGTACATAATACATTTTTTGTAAAACTTAAAATATTTCTTACAAAACTAAGCTCAGGTTCTTTTCACATGAATAAACAAATGAGTATAGAGAATTCTGTAAGTATAGATTACAGCTAGATCATTTACTATTACCTCGAGCTACCTTTTTTTTATTTATAAGTTAAGACTGTGCTACAAATAAAATTAAGGTTAATAGGTTTAGGAAAATGTTATACGCCCACATAATTCAAATAACATAATAAAATAGCTTAATATTAAAATTTTTACCAAGTCACGAGCCTGCTTAATTAAACAGCAATGGCGTAAATAAAAATATTAAGCTTTTGACTGAAAAGAAGTTGAAGATGGTCTCCGTTTGTGAAGAGGAAATTCCGTTGTAAGACAACATTTGTTGCAAATACATAAAAAAACAGGCTTTGCAGTGTATTTTCGTTTTTGGCCCAGTGTGCTGATTATTTTTAGCTCAGAATGCGCTCTAATTTATGTTCGGTATTGCTCAGGTACAGTAGTACCCTCCGCCTCGGTTTGGGCCGGAACACAGGTTGTCTGGTCAACCTTGCATATACGGCCATTTTGTTTGTACGTAAATTGTTTGCTTCCGAAATCATTTCGCGCTTGAAAACGTGTTAAATATGCAGAGTTGATATACTTGTATAACAGCGTTTATAAGTATAGTATTATACATAGTATACTACTCATACATGTGTATGTGCTATGAAAATGTAATTTCTTTATTGTAGCATCATTCAAAATTAATTTAAAAATTGCTTGCGAAAACAAATTGACGCCTGAATGTTAATGGAGGCAAATATTTGCCAACATCATTAAGTTCATTAGGAAAAAGTGTTTCGGATCGAATGCTAAAAAAGGTATAAATAAAAGTCAGAAATGCAAACAACAGAAAAGTAACATACAAAACGTGTTTTGAGGGTGCTCTCGAAATGGCGTCAGCGTCACGTGAGCTTCGACGATGATTCAGATATGTAGGCTAAAGCTATAGCCAGACGTGGAGTGGTGTTTGGCATTGGGTCAGAGAAAGATTTAAGTACCCCTGCATACCTGATTCCTCAATCGATACTATTGGCCTGTGCTGATTGACGGAGAGGAGCGCTCAACAACTGAGCAGATGTTCTGAAGCGGCAACAATAGCAATGGCAAAACCCTTGGTCCATGCTCGAATGCCCTGGACTGTTAGCTGTCACATTAGCTGGCTACCTGGTTGTTTTTAGATTGTGCCGGTTCCAGGCAGAACCTCTGAGTCTAACGTTTACGAACTGAGAGCCACAAGGCATGACTGCGGCGCAGTTGTTTGAAAACAAAACACAAAACGGGGCTTAAAAACTCACGTTTGTTGTATGTCAGTTTTGAAATACATACACATACATCTTATGTATATTTTCCTATCTCTGCCAAGAAATTTGTGTACATAATGCCGTATTTATACGGCATAGCGGATACAAAGTATTGGGTGGGCAGGAGCAAGAAGGAAGGCGTCCAACCTGTGCCACCCATTAAATTTCGGCGAAATAAACTCTACGAAGGACGGGTCAAGTTTAATCATGACGATCTACCCATACAATTCCGCACAACTCCCGCTACTCTGGTCGAGCTCTGCGTTAACGTGGTCGACAAGTTGCCATTACCTTCGGTCTTTGAATGGGACGACATGGACATACGACGCTGGATCAAGCGCTATGGCTATCCACAGTATATGGTGTGTAGTTCTGCATAAAAAATCAAAAAAACCATTATTGTATTCATGTTTTCCTTCATGTATTTGATACCAGTATTTGTCACAAAATATACAAAATGTTGCACAGGGAAGACGTCCTTCAATTGTTCTAAAATTAAATTTAAAATTTTTCAATATAATAAAAAATAGAACATTCAACTGCATATAATATTAGCCTTTTTGCAAATATTTTTGAATTAAATTTAATAATATTCAATTTACTTTCAAAGAATAATAATAATCAATTTTCTTTGAAAATTTAGTGGATTTTTGAAATTGTGTTTTAATTATTTTTGATGATAATATGTTTTATTTTTGCTTTTGTATTTTCCAGTTGAATAACCTTTTCTACAAATTTTTGCACATCTGTATATATAGCTGGCATTTGAAAAGTATAAAATGTATCTGTATTTCTGTTTTATTGAGTACCTATTTACAATTTTATTAAATTAATTTGTCGCAATTACAATCCACAAGATTAGTTCAATTTAAAATGTTTCTTATAGTTTTTGGTTAATATTATTACCATTACTTACAAATATCATATTTATTTATATTTTTTCTGCATATTATTAATTTAATTAAAAGTGTGTATATAGTATAGTTTCTCAGCATGTATTTATGTACGTATTTTTTTTAGAATACCTTTCGCGTCAATATGATTTGGGGTCGCAAGCTGTTGTTGCTGGATGCGTCAGCTTTATCGGCAATGAACATCAAGGACTTTGATCACATACGTCACATATCCTATGGCATACGTAGCCTGTTCCACTTCGAGCTTAGCAAATTCTCGCGTAGCTTATCACTGCCGGATGAGAAGCCCAACGAACTATATCTACTCTTTCACACACAGACTGGTGTCAACTACGACGAGGTGCGTCGCTCCGATCTGTATCGACGCATGCAAATCTTACGGGAGCGTCCACTAAATCTCTGCCACTGGGATCTGTTGGATTTGTGGCTGCGACGGGAGCGTGAACGCAAGTACACGGAACTAATTGGAAGGATACCACGCTATAATATGTACAAATGCATTCCCGTACCAGAGGAACCTGAACCGGTCGAGGTCTTACCGGAGGCAGTGATGTGCGAAACCTGCATACCGCCCTGCCAATGCGATTGGGATAATCGGGACGTCCGTTTGCCGTGGCGTCTAAGTACACTCGCCACCCACGGCCCTGTGATGACAAAGAGCAAGTGGACAACGATGGAGAACAAGTGCCGCACATGTATACCGCCCTGCGAGTGTCGCTGGCCCTCGCGCTATTATCTAACGGGCACCGTTATAAAATGTCTGCAGCACAAGTTCCCCGAGAAATTCTGTCCCATATTCGATGAGCGCATGAAGGCCGTGGCTAGACCCAGTCTCGTGGAGCGTTGGACACGATTTTCTATTTGAATTCAGGCATTTGGTTAGATGTATACATATGTATGTGTATGTACTGTATGTACATATGTTTGCTTGTATGAATGTATTTTAAAATTGCAATATGTATCTGCATTGTTGTTGCTTCACTGATTTTGATCATATCGTGTTAATTGCAAACTGTCAGCATTTTCTTTCAAACTCAAGACAATTCAGCTTGGAAAAAAATATCGTATTGACTCAAAATCAAACAGACAGCGTCAGCTTTGTGGCTGCCAACGCACCGTTGCGCTGAGAAAGTAAATAAAAATCACAAAAATTAATACAAAAAATAAAAGTCGCAAGAATTTGAATTTGCATCCCACGAAGCCAAGCAACGCAAGCGCAGACGTAAACAGCAACGTCAACAGCGACGCCTGCAGTAATCACGGCACGCGCAACACAGCCACAACGGCAACCGCTCAGCAGCTGCTCATTGCTCTCTCCGCTGCTCGCAGTTTGCCGCGTTCGCCAGCGCCATCAAAAAGCCAGCACCGCACAGACAGCAATTTTAGTTCAGTTCCAATACTGCGAGTGGCAACAGCACCAGCAGCAGTAGCAGCGGTAGCAGCAGTAGACAACCCGTAACTGTTAGAAAAATTGAGAAAAATTAAGAACTTTAAAAATAAAATTGTTGCCAAGTTCAAAAATATACGCATACAAAATCTGATGCTAAATCCTCGAGTTTACAAATATCATCATTGCTGGACGAACTCGCTCGTGTTGTCAGTGGCAGTAGCTGTGCCGCATAAATTTTTGTTGATAACATAAATCCCCGAAGTCAAAATTATACTTGTGGTTGAAACAAAAAAATAAACGTATTTGTAAAAATAGCGCGACTCGCATAAAACATAAAAGTGCTTTCCGGCTGTCGCGACAATTTACAGAACATACAATATACACAATCCTATACACATTTGATTATTGTAATTGTAATTTGCTTTACACGTACATACATATAATTTGTCTCACACACATTTTCTCCCACTCCCACGCGGCGTCGTGTGTGAGAGAGTGTTGTAACGTATTGCTGTTGTTGTTTTAACAGTGTTGCTCCTTCTATACGCCAAAAGCAAAACTACTCAATGTAAGTAAAAAAAAAAAAAAAAACTGTACATATGTGTATCTACATATTATATTTAATTATGCCTTTGTGTCGGTGTCAGTGTCGGCGTCGGCGCCGTCACCTTCGTTGGCAGTGACATCAATAAAAATGCATCGTCCTTCTGCATTCGTTTCTGCTTCTCATTTGTTGCGCGTGCGTGACTATTATCGTGTTTTGTTTTACCAGCCCTTTTAATTCATAAATTTGCAATTTTACCATTTTGGGTGTGTTGAACTTGTTGATGAAATGATACATGTATGTATGTATGTATGTATGTATGTAAATATGTATTTAATTTGCTGTAAAGAAATTGCATTTACATGACTGTTGCCAACTGCCGAGTGGTGGCTCTGAAGTCATAAAAAAATGCATCAATTTGCAATCGTATTTTTTGCAGTCGCTACGCTCGTGTATAAATTTGTGTCTCAATAGTCGTGGAAATTGACTAGAAATGTGGATTTATTGTTAAGCTATTTGATATGCCCAGACAAGCATTATAAAGTGTCATTGAATTTGCCGAAGAGGTGTATCACTTGTCTAGACAAACATATGTATGTCGTACTTATAAATGTTTCCGATTCTATAAAAATGTGCAATAAAATGCATACCAATGGCAACGACCTTATCAACACTTAGAAAAATTAAATGTCATTTTGTTATTTTTTTTAAAATTACTTTAACATTATTAAGCTATAAAATAAAGAATAAGAAAAAGAATGAAAGAAATTGGTATGTAGGCGTAGTTTCTTGCTGTATTTGCAATCGAGAATTCCAAAAATATTAATGAAAAAAAACGATGGATAGTTCCTTAACAGTTACAAAAACTCAAGATTTGATGAAAAAACTCTTGAATTTGAGCACACACAGTGTGTTTTCCAATACAATTTTTAATATTATAGGGAATATTCTAATATTTATATTTCTGCTGAATTTTATAATAATAATTAATTTCTGTGGTCATATTTGGAACGCACAAAACTATCTATTAAGGATGAAGTTTGAAACACACACATTTCTAAGAACATGAATAATAATCAAAAAAGTATAAAAACCTAAAGTTCGTATTACATTTCTTTTATAGTCTACTATCAGTAATTCGTTAAATTTCGTTACTTTTCGAACAAGAACATCTTATTTATTGAGTGGTAATGTGGAGCCATCGAGAAAGTATATATTTAAAAATACTATATGTTGTATTCTATGGAAAATTTGAATAACGTCAACCTGCAGAATCAGTAAATAATGTGGCTTGAAACTAGAAAATACACTTGGGCAGAGAGGGAGAAAGGAAGAAGCGCACATTTGACGTTGACGGAGACTCTGACATTTTTGGCAGCTAAACAAATATATGCACACACAAGACACACACATACATACTATATGTACGTATGTATATAAATATATAAGTATATCAACAAAATGACGTACGAGCAGCGGTTAGGCGTATGTTTTATGTTTCACATGTGACCCAATGTACTCGCGTATATAGTCAATGCTGTAGGCAGATATATATATATATATATATATATATATATATATATATATATATATATATATATATATATATATTTCGTATATATTTTTTGCGAGTATATAATAAGTGGGAGTGTAGGCAGACTCTGCTTGTTTTTTCATTCATTTTTGTTTGTTTTTTGGGTTAACAACAGGGTCTCATGCATAGACTAATCATGTGAAACAAGGACAAAGCACCCATAGACATACAATTTGGAACACACGCACTCGGACACACAAATATGGGTATTTTACTAAATACCCTCCAGCTCGGTGGATCAGTGCCCGTCCTATAATTTCCATTACCATAAACATCATTGGTGGATTATATAGGGGAGCGACATTCAACATGTTCTTATCAGTCGGTGTCACAATCACCAGTTTTTAGACAAATATATATATAGATGCTGAACTTAATAGCAACTTGCGACTCATGTACCCGCGTACTAGAACAGTAGTTTGGGAGCGAACGACCCCTAGCAGAACTTTAGGCTAATTAGTTGTCAAGGGCCTACTGATATAGACAGGTTGACCGCAATTGAAATAAATGCCGATCTGCCCCTTCTAATAAATCAAGGCAAATGTTGTTGTATTGTATTCACTTTGTAGGCGTATCACTCAGGTGTTAATATGTATGTAACCATGCCAGCAATTAGACAACAGTCGCACGTGTACGCCAGATCAAATAAATTAGCATACAACAAACTCACAATCGGGCATTAGAAACAGGCAAGTGAGCCAAATGAGGCGCCGCGATTTATAGCGCATTCTGGTCGCCTTATATGGCAACAGTGTGCTTCCGCTCATTAAAGATACATTAGTCGCACATTTTTGTCGAAATGCAAATTTGCTTTACTGATGGCTCAAATAAATACATAGATTCATTTAGATTGGATGTGAGACAGCTCCCTCGTGTGTTCATTTGGCAAATTTGCCAACTCGCTATATTTAGCATTTAAATATTTTGTTTTTAGGTATTTTAATGTAGCCAGCGTCTGCAACAACTCCGACAGCAGGAGCAAAAGTGCAGACGACTGTTAACTGATAACCAATGAATGAAAAAAAAAAAAACAACCAAAAACGGGCATTTTATGATAAGGCGACCCCTATTCCGTTGCAGTCAGACCATAGCCTAGAGGCTTTATAGTATTTTAGAAATGAATGAATGTGCCGATAAGCCAATCTAATTTCCCGACTTTGCCTTGAGCCATGACATATGAGGCGAGCGTTTCAATTGTGATTACTAGCCGCTGTGACCGCCGAATGTTGAAGGTAGATTTGGATGGAGGCACGCTTTGGGCGCAGCCACGAGACAACCACAAGTTATAGACAGATAAGATAGCTAGTTTACAATTTTGCGTTCATGCTCATCAATTTACTAATTAAAATTACATTTTCTTGCTATATTTCAGAAAAAGACACACACACACTTTCATCATGTCCAATACGGAGAAAGGAGGACATCACAGAACCAGAAGTAAGTATTTGACCGATATGAGAAATACATACAATTACATAATACATTCAGAAAACTGTTATTTCGGAGCTTGTTAGTTGGGGTAAATGTGCTGCTATTTTAATTTGTCTGCTGTTAGCTCAAATATTGCTAGATATGTTCGTAACTAAATCTAATTTGTTACAAATTTCAAAAATAGTTACGGTTTTGAACTTCAGTTACAATTTAAGAATATGCATATCATTCGGACAAACTATTTCAATTTAGGAAACAGTTTTTCTTTTGTCAGCTTAAGCTTTGCATTTTTTTATAGTATTAAAAATAGGCTGTTTATTTGTTTTTATGAGTCTGGTCTCTTTGAAGCGTTGTTTTTTTTTTGAAAAACTCTTCATTGTAGGACTCTTTAGATCGAATGATTTTGATCAATTGTGCAACATCAACGAAACTGTGAGAATCATGTGAAATTGTTTACAATTACGAGTTCTGCCATCCAAATAGTTGCCATGCAGCTCAGTACATAAAATGTATTAAGAATAGTTCAGTTGAACGCATCAAATAACAGCGAGCATATACAAAATCAAGAGCCGAGCCCCTTTTTTCATTGAACTTGTTTAGCGCTGTTATGCTCATGTTATTGTCGATTTCTGGTGACTTCATGCCGGCCGCAAAAACAACAAACATCGTGAAGTGCCGCACATTGTGGTGCCTCGGTTTGGGGCTTCGGGACCGAGGAAACGTTCAGTTCGGCAATGTCGTTTCATTTTTGCTATCAAATGAAGGCGCGGCACAGTTCGCTTAGTATCCAATATATAGTTTACTGAAGCACTCACATAAATGTGTATTTATGTGGTGATGCCCACAGAATTGGAATAAGATCATTCACTTAGCGGAAATTGAAAAGTCACATTGAAATATCGTTAAAAACAAATTGATTGAAGCGCTGTTTGGCCAATCAATTGGAATGGTTGGCTCTTCGATTGGTGTTACAAGTGGACAAGTTGACTATTGGGGTTAGAGCTCAATTGAGATGAATGCCTATGGTTGGTTGGTTATTTGGAGTTTCGAAGCTGACATTTAGAGTGGAGAAGAGGCCATCAAATTGTGACCTTCTTTCAGAACTACGCAGTTCTATTTGTGAACTTATGACGTTATTGTTATGACATTTATGCAAACAAATTAGCGCGCTCACGCTAACTGAACGCGACGGTCTATTAAGTAGGTGGCTAGCTGGCTAGTTAGCTGGACAGTCAGGCCAGCTTATGCTCTGGCTTAATGTTTTCGGGCGGGTTCAGGGACGTATATATTGAATTGCAGGCGCCATTAAAGTTTTTGTTGCCATTTCGACTCGTAATTGCGCGTTAATAAAACTTTAATAGTACAGCAGTGGCTCGCATTTAAATATTTGCCATTTAATTCATGCTATATACATACATATTACTTAGCACTTTGCACAGACAGTTCTAACGCGCTTGGCTGCACAACAGATAACCAAAAACCGCAACAACAACAACAAATACAAATACAACAAAGCACGCAATTAGCACGAATTTGGGAATGTGAAATAGAAGAATATCGGAGAGGGGGATGGTTGGGGGTTATCGGCTCTTACGCACTTTACTTGCGCGCCCATGTGCCTCAACACCAGACCAGACACCAGTATTCGTGATTCATTCAATAACACGGCCAACAGGACAGACCGACAGTCAATGAAACTGTCGCACCGTCGAACAAACTGCAATTAAATTGTGCTAATTGAAACATTTCTGTCATGCCCAACTGCAATTACAATTTGCAACAATAAGACAAGTTGAAATGCAATTTTATTATTGTTATTGCCAATTTAACACCTTCACGAATTGCAAGTGGGCTTAACCCGCTCATCAAAATTCACAACTGCTAAGGAAGCTATAACATGTATTTGATGTCTTATGCAGGGCCATAGCATTGTAAATTGAATCAATTGTTGTATATTCAATAAAAAAAAACGCACATTATCGAGAACACCTTGAAAATGAAAAAAAAAATACAAAAACACAAACAAAATCATACTACTTGTATATAGTATGAAGGCTTTTAGGGCGCAGCTAGGCTTTTAAATTCGCTTTTGAAAATAAATATCTAGTCTATTAGAGGTGTGCATGAGTGATCTGTCTTAAAGCGTTGTGGAGACATGGTCGTTACAGTTCAGCTATGATGATTGCTAAAATAGATATTATATGGAACTCCTCCTCTATTTTGTTGCTATATGCATTTTATATACGCAGGTTTGTTGTTCAGTCAACAACAGAGCTAGATTGACCAAATGAACTTATTTAAAACTAGTAAAAGCTCTAATACATGGGAATTTATTAAAACGAAAAAATAGAATGCTAGAACCGTGCTTAATAAATAAATGGCAATAATTTCCTTTAGATCACGATATAACTTGAGATAAGAATAATAAAAGCAAGCTAGAGTAATGGAAAATCATGATTAGCGGGCTGCGCTGAACACAAATCTGTGCTTCCACTATCTCTATCTAGGAGAGCATGGATACCACACAGTTGATTATTCTAATAAATAAATAAATAATAAACATGTAAAAAATCGATAGACTATATCTATAATTCAGAAAAGCCGTTAGGTGTGTGTGATCTACTAAAATTAAATGATTCAATAAGAAGTGAAAATTGTGGTTGGTTGTTGTCATAAATAATATATCGTTTATGGTGTGTGCGTTTACATCTAAAACAAACTGTGCAAAGTTGTCTGATGAGTAATACCATAAATATATAATCACAAATACATCTATGTATATGTATGTATTTATTTGCAAACATGTGTACTTTTTATTGAAGCCGTGTTTGTCTCTTCATAATGAAGTATAATAAACGTCATTATTAGGCACGAAGTGTTTACGTTTTCGTACCTTTTGTTAAGTTGTTTTTACACAAGTTTTTGTATACGCGCTTACCTTTTATTCAATTGTCATTAAAGTTAATAAAGTCAGTGCATTTTTTTTGCGAGCACAATGTGCGCAAATCACTTAATTTGAGGTCTTTAAATTTTTCGTGGAACCTGAAGTTGTTGACGGGTTATTGTTGCTGTTATTGATGTTGTTTGGCGATAATGTATCTTGAATTAGGAGTTCAAACGTACATTCTTGTTAGCCTACATTCATTCGTCAGCCATTTTTGTACAGGTGTGTGTATAATTTCATGTTTCATTTCCGTTTTAAGCCAGACTTTGGTACACTTATTGACGTAATTGTATGTACTAGAACTAGACATTACTAAACAGATCCAGCCAAAAGTTCAAGAATGTTGTCAACGACTACCACAGAACAGCGACGTCAACATCAAAGTCTCTCTGTCTAATTGAATGAAATGAATGGAGCAGAGACTTAGACTGAGACTGACTTTGAACTGACACGGACTACCCATAAAGTCGGGCAAAGCAACAGGCGTTATTAGTCCGATAAGCAGCCAGAGCCAGAGCCACAGCCATCGAATCCGCATGCCACTCATTCCAGTTTGTTCGTTAGAAAGATTATTTCCCAATAATATATGTACATACGAGTACATACTCGTATTTGTTAAAAAGTGTTTACCAAAAAAAATCTGGGTCTGTCTGGCCTTTGCAAGTGGTGGCTGTTGATATGAATAATACTTGAAAATACTTACATATATATTTACATATTTCGTTATATATAATATTTTTTTAGCCTCTGTACAGTTCGGTTTGTTAATTTGGAAAGTTAAATATTTTTTATATATTTATTTTTATGATGAGCGTCTGCTGTCTTATGGACAAAATGCTTATCCGTTACTAACCCGTTGGACATGAGTGTGGCGTCTTGCTGGGAACGCCGGACAGCACGACCAACAATTGTAAATCAGTTCTATAATGTTCATGTTACTAGTGCGCCGAGCAAAATTGTGTGTTTTGTTTTCATTTTGTACGTATTTATATTTTTTTGCTTGTGTGACGAGCCCCCTTTTTATTAGTACTACTACAAAATAAACATACGTACATACTTGTATGAGTGTGTATGTGGGGAGGAGCTTGGGGAGGATGTATACCTAGACGTTTATAGTGTAAACAACAGCAGCAGTTTATTAGCAACAACCTGTTGCTGCAGTGCGGCTGCCAATGCCAATTAATTAGTAACCACGTGCACGTTCAAGACACAGGTTGAATGTATTTAGAAGTAGGTGAGTGTACAAATATGTGTAGATAATTAAAATATGTAGATTCCTATTGCAAACAGTATGTCAGTGTTAAATTAATCATGGATATCGTGAAACCAATAATTATTTTTAAAAAATGTTTGCATTTACTTACTTAGGTATTACTGTTTGGAATCGATTTCAGTAGAGAGCTCTTGGTGCTTAAGTGTGTACTTAAAGGAAGGAATCGTCTTTCCATAATGTACATATAGATTTGTATACATACAAGTATGGATGTATATTTTTGAGCGCCATCGTCCATTCCTCCGTGTCTGGCGGTTTGTTCATCTGCCTGTTTGTTTTGCTTAATTTAATTAATTTTTTTACATGATTCCCTTTTCTGCCAAATCAAAATTAATGTGTAATAGCTTTTTACTGCTATTTTAAATGTCGTGCAAGTCCGCTAGTCAGACTTTAATATCTTTTAGCTTAATCAACTAAAAAGCAATTAAGAGTTTTCAAGACAACCGTTTATTGATAATCGTTTAACATCCTTTAGCTAAGAGTAGATTATTGTTGTGATGATGAATATAGTATTTCAACAGATACTCTATGTACATATGTATATCCTGACAGTTGATTTGAACGGGTTACTGATCGTTCCAACACTGTTAGTTCACTAAACAAGGACTATTGAAAGATGGCCATTTATTTTTGTCAACGTGTTTCGCTTGCTTTGAGATATTATTTCCAATATGACTTCCTGTTCGGGCCGCACAAAACTAATGGGATGTATTGAATAGTAAATAAATGTGAACATTTTCACTTAAGCTTACAAATAATTGACTTCATTCAATACTTAATAAGATGCTC